CTTAAAGCTACAAAACAAGCTCCTTCACTGATAACATTTCACATTTTTACTCCTCTTCATCATCATAGCCAAGTAGCCAACAATGATATATGCTTCTGCTTATGCTTTTGCCACCATTGATGCTAATAAGAAGCTTAGGAGCACTGATCTGGTGGCTCTTGAGTATGCTGATCTTAACCTGAAAAATTTTCTGGGTATGTTCTTACAATCATCTAGTTCCTTCCTTCTTATTACAGTGACAGTTTCTTATCCCATGCAATTTGGCATGGTATTTGTTCTGTTTATACCTTCATATGAATGAAATGAAAAGAAGGCAGATGGATTTTTTCTCTCTTTTTTTCCATACTGAAGTTATGGCTTTTGTTTTAATATAACACAAGGAATTAGGTCATGTAAGAATCAGGCCACATCTTCAATCTTTTGCTCTAAGTTTTAATTCCTCGGATGATCATTTCTTTGATTGAATATAAATGTTTTAATTATGGTTTTTCTGTTGCTGTTGTCACAATTAGAATAAGATATGATATTGTCATTTTGTGCGTAGATGCTAGCACCAGTACCTGATCAGAATCAAGTATTAAAGGGACACAACATTGCCACTCTTGGTAAATAAATGTTGGAAGTGGTGATCCCTTTGTCCTTCCTTCCATTTCATCTGATTCATTTAATACATATGTAGTTTTTGTTCCTTAATGAGTGAAGCTGTTTTGAAGCTATGAGATGGTCCAACTTTCTAGCTATTGCATTTTATTTTGGTTAGCAGCACATTTCCTATATGGCTTGCAAAATGAAATCCTGATTCATGAAACTATTTGGGACTGAAAATATATATGACAGGTATGGATCGAGCTCCTTGGACTAGTTCTAATTCACTCAAGAATTCTTCTGATTGAGTTAATGTACATTTTCTTGATCTTCATTTTTCCATTTTTCTGTTACATTATATAGACAGTTTCTTTGACATAATCATGCTATTTAATTGCCCAACAGCTGGTTCTGGTTTTGTGTGTTGAGTTCTGTGTAAAAGAGCTAGCTCTAAGTAAGATATAAAGCTTAAACCTACCCTCTGCTATTTGATGAAATGCTTTATTTTAGATCTAATGATGGATGACTTGAATGGTTTTGCAGGCATTTCATTTTTGCAAATGTTTCAGTTTCCATTAAATGATTGGTATCCACTCATCTTGGACCCTTGATGCTAATTTCAATCTAGGTTAGTGTAGTTCTGGCAGTACGAAGATCAATTTACCTTTTAATTGTTGGTTAAATGAAAATAGAATTGTGCTATATGCAGTGCCTGCATCCTCATTTCAAGAAAAGGCATCATAAAGAAGGGTTCTGCAGAACCCTTTATTGGATTCAATTAAAATAGTTGGATTCCTAAGGAAAGGTAAGTTGTGAGATGTGCTTACTTTCTAGAAGTTGCAAAATTTTGTTGTTTTCACATCTGATCTCGTCTAAAACTGTTACCAGTTGATGCATGTTTGTCATTATTCGCTCAACATACATTAGGAACCGAGAACCTTGTTGCTCATCCAGATCTAAACGGGGTTAGTGAGGAAATCGTTAAAAGGTACAAAGGATTGCCATTTAGCATAAATTTGTTAGTGATTTCTTGCATGGTAAATTAAATTGTAAAGAGTGGAAACACAAATTAAACTTTGAGGTATGGGATCTATCTGAAGACCAAGATGGCGTTCTCCCTACTATCAGGATGAGATAAAATAAACACATAACAAACTGCCAACGTTTACTTATCGGCAGTTTACTTATCGATGGCTAGGTTTTTTCCCTTTTGCAACTCATTTATTTTTCTTAATAAATTTCTGGAGTTCGTTTTAATTTTCTTCCCAGCTCTTCCTCATCAAATCTATTTAATTTCTAGAAATGCAAGATCATGTATTTTCCAACATCATGTGCTAAATCTCAAAACCCAAATTGATAGAAAAAATAGTTGCAGTTGTAGATTAGCAACAGTACCTGATTAGGGTGAAGAATTCAGGGACTCAGGATTGCCACTCTTGGTAAATATTGGAAGTGGTCCCATTTTACCCAATTCGATTTATGCATGTTCAGTTTCTATTTCAAATTTCTAAGATAGTGCAACTCTCTATACATTGCTAATTTTGTTTCAATTGTATTGAAGTAATGTAACTTAGTAAATACTATTTGACTTTGTGAGCCTTTACCTTGCAGTAATGAGAGGATTTTTAGCTACATTTTCACTATTTTCAAACTTCTTTATATCCAATTTTTATTTTTCAAGCCTTCATTTTCTTGAAATGTTAACTTTGTAATTGCTTAGTTAATTTTCCTTGTTTTTATTTTGATTATCATTTTTCTTCTTGTTGGCATTGCCAATATGGTTAGTACCATTGCTAGTTGAGGAAGAAATGGGGACTTATTCACTTCTAAGTGTTCAGTTTTATTAGAGTAATCAAACAAATTTCTCTATTTGGAGCAGATTTCTTATATGGCTGGCTAAAAGAAGTCCCAATTCATGAAAAAGAAAGAAAAAGAATGATCTATGTTCAATTCATACAAGGTTTTGTGTATACATTTGGCTTTTGGCTTTTTGTTTCAAAGTGCAAAACATGTATTCATTCTATTTATTTTTCATTTTTTCATCCATATCTGGAGATATTGATGACAAGCTTTTGATCTAATTATATTTAATTGAAGCTAACGAGTTGGTTTTGATTTTATCTTCCTATCCTGTGCATTTTCCCCAGCTTTTGGGGCGCTCTGAAGAGTTTCATTATGTTGTTAGCTCACACCAATCTCTCATCAGCTGTTGGGTAGGCAGGAAGTGTACCGATTAGTACTACTAATGGACTGAGAATAGAAGGTAATGATAGTTTTGTGTTTCATTTTTCATACTTTTTGGTTCAGGGTATTATATCATAGCTGAAAGGCT